ACTTCCTATTGTAGACTGGGTGAGTTGAATAATTTAACCTTATGAGCAGGAGGTCAGGTTACAGTTGAGCTATTTGCTTTTTCATAGTACTAGTGATATCTGTAGTGCACTGCAAATAAGGTTTCCATCAGTGTAAGTATAAGAGATGTGTATTAAAAAACCAAATGTTGTGTATTGATAAATTACAATTAAAAAAAAATATGGTGATAATTAGTAGAAAATAAATTTCAGTTTCTATATCTGAAAACATAATATTTATAGAATGTGTCTGATGGAGAGATTTGTGCAGGTTCTAGATTATTTTATTATTGTTTCAAAGTAGTAGTAATCACAATGGCCTGGAGGATTTTTCAGTGGTGTGGTAACCTTTGCAGAAGAGGTGGTAATCCTTCTGACAAGAGATATATAGTGCTTAGTTGAGCTGACAGCTGGAGGGTGTGTATCACAGCTGTTGACACACATTTAAAGTTATCTTAACCTTTAAGGTTCCAGGAAGGTCCTGGAAAGGCAGGAGTAGTCATTTTCCATGGTGTATCTAGCTGGAGGTATGTGAGGAAAGGCTTTTATTGAGGTGAGAAATGGATTAGACAAAGGCTCATGAAGGTGAGTGAGAATTAGCTTGTGATCTAAAAATAACAGCAGTTTTTAATAGTAGTGATTGGCCATAAGTTTTCATGAGTACTGTTTCTCCTACCATGATTTAATAACACTGCTTTAAAATGTATAGCATACTGTGTTTGTAGCAGGTATTTTTAAAATGAAAAAAAGTGACTAATGGTAAAGAGGGGCTAATGGTGTTGTGGTGACCAGTAAAGAAAATGACTGGCTTGAATACCAAGTGGTATGGTGGCTGCTGGGCAGGACGAAGCTCTCTCCTGCAGCAAGGTTTCTAGCCGATCAGGTGTACAGGTACAGTTAGTTTATTTCTGATGGATAGGATTACAACTTCTGGCATTTGATCCTGGTAGTGAAGGTAGATCCCTTCAGCATGGATTAAATTAATTAGAAAGGGAGTTTGATGATGCCAATCAACATTGGCCAGCAATTAAATTAGTTACTTTGATCGATCAGGCTGCTTTCTCTGAAGAAGAAGGTTACATTTTCAGGAAGGTCCTTTTTCTTGAATGTGGTCTACAAGTTGCCACATGCAGGGTACCTGTGTAAATCTTTTTCCTTCATGAAAGGCTGGAACAGATTGAGGACCCAGCTGATCTCTACATTAGTCAGCCATAGGTGGTGTTCCTATATCCATGTCTTAGCAACAAAATGGAGTCAAAGCAATGACTGCTTATGGTAAATATAACAGAAAGGATTTGAAAATGTTTGTGTAAGAGGTATAAAAATCTAATGTTAAATTGGCACATCCTCCTCTCGTTAAAATTGCTCATGCTAGAAAAAGGGTGGATTTTCTAGTAAATCTTGTTCCAGTTCCTTGGATGATGTGTTTTCCTAATAGAAGTATATTTGCCTCAGCCAAAAGTCAACAAGTTTTTACTCACAAATAAATTCCATGGTTTTTATCCCCTCAGCCTCCCCCCAGTGACTTTGTAGCAGCAATGTTTCTAAAAAGATTTGTCCATTATTCTTTGCATCCATACGAGGACACTGTGATGTGGAGTCATATATATATATATATCTGATCTCCTGTATGTAGCAAAACAATTCTTACTATTCTATTTATATTACTGTAGATCTATGTATACAGATGTTAAATCTTGAAGAACATGTGCACTCAATCTGCTTCAAGGCACGTGTGAGATTTGTCAAACTACACTCTGTACGGTTTTGTGTGTTATACAGTTCATGATGGGGTTGATCCTATATGTCATACTCACTAAAGTATTTTGATGTCTTGGAGAATCAAATCTATGCAAAAATCTGTGGCTGTGAATGCAACTTGATCCATATGTAATATAGACTGAGTATTTACACAGTGTGAATATTAACAGTAGAGTATGTGTATATTCCATGTGCACACATATTTGTCTGAATCTTACAATGAGATCCACATGGATGTATGCCATACCTGTTGAGTGCCATTTACTGCAATTGGATTTGCACAGAGATAAAAGATTTTGCTGATATGGGAACAGAATTGGGAAGGGGAAATGAGGCACATTCTTATTATAGGCATGGCAGAAATTTTCAGTGTTGTATGTAATTTGATATTGGAATAGCTTATTTTGGAATGTGGCAAATTTTTCATCAGCTGAAGTATTTAAAGGAAAAATATTTATCTTCCTTGGAGTAAGTTTCCCCATCTAATCTCTTGTCTTAATGAAAACTTCTGTGTCTTTGCAAACTGTCTGGCTTCTGGTAGTTCTGTTGTCCTAATTGTCTGTTCCCGTCGGCCATTCTTGTTTTAGACTTATGAAACTCTGTTCATGTCACATAAGAATGATTCAATTTGTGTCCCCAGTAGCAGAATCCATAGAGTTCTTGTTAAACTTACAGAGGTTATGATTTCTGCTGGTACGAACATGACACTTCAGTAAGACAAACAGGACATCTTAGCTTCACCATAAGCAAATAGGCATCCAAATGATGCTTATATTACTTGTCATACTTCACAGAAAGAGTTGCATTTTTGCAAGATTGAATTAATTTCCTCATTTACAGATGCCATTGTAAGGCTGGCATACTTTAATATTTACAAGGCAAGACTGGGTCCAAATCTTTCAAGCACAGAGTAGTGACCCTGTATGGTACCTAAGACAGGATGCCAGTTTGCCAGTCACCCCAATATTGCACACTCTGCTCAGACAGTTGTGGTTTTCCCTTGCTGAGCAGTGACTGCATTTCCTTTCTGGCTGGGAGAAGAGCATTTTCTCTCCTCCTAGCTAGGCAGAGCACTTTCTACTTCACTGGGCACCAAGGAGAGCCTGTTTTTCCTTCTCCCTTTCAGTAAATTGAAGCCTTTCCTTTCCTTATCACTTCTAGGACAACTGTGGCAACAACAGGTCTGTGGCTTTGCTCTCCTTTTTACTGTCCTTCCTGGCACTAGCCAGGATCTCCTGGTTGCTGCCTTCAAGTCTGCCCTTCAGGATCAGTGGCCATTTGTGAGGGTAGAAAACATTTTCAAAGGGATCTTAATTATAAAGATAGAACTAAGTGTAAGAGGAAAAGGCTGATAACACAAAAATAGGTTCACATACATATTTTCATTACTTAAAGCTTGAACTGATCTATCTTATTCCAGAGAAAGGCCACCTTTGTCTCTTTTATCCACGTCTGGGATCTTTGCTCCAGTTTCCTGCAGGTAACTCCTTCAGCTCCATCTGGGGTGAAGAACTAAGTATGAATCTGGACATGTCTGGAAGTAGCATTTTAAATCCTTGTTACCCTGTTAGGATTGATAAATCAAGATCTGAAGTTCCACTCTGTTTTTTCCCTATGAATCTTTATTTGATTGATCCCTTTATAATCAAGTAGAAAACAATGTTGTATCAAACAAACAGAACATATAACATTCATAATATATTCCAGACACATCCTCTATTAAAATACTACATATAATAAAATCACATGCTTCAGTCAATCCTTTGTCAGTGTCAGGAAAGAGTGTCTGTTGATAATTCTTTTGTCACCTTCCTCTGAAGTCTCAGGAGTGTCTATGGCTAGATACTGTCTATGACAAAGAGTCAGTGCTTAATGTGGTACAGGAACTCCATTCTGGTGTCTGACTGGTGTGTCTTGCTCAAATGCTTGGACTTATACTACTGCCTTCCTTACAGGGATGGAAGGATTTTTTTGTCAAGTCAGACAGGCAGGACTCTGAAGGTCTTTCCCTTCTTATACATCACAAAAAATGTTTTGTTTTCTGAGTTCAGGTCTTCTGAGATCATCTGATTTAGAGAAGTGCTGCCATTGGATCTTTGTCTGTCCTGTTTTCTGCCCTTGTCACTGTTTTGCCAATTGACAGGGTTAACACAAAGGACACAGACACCAAGCTGAAGAAATAGGCTTATTTTACTTTAGTAGAAATAGAAATTTTACTATAGTAGAAATAGCAGAAAGAATAAGCAAGGTAATGCACCTAGACATTACTATTTAAAGCTAGCTATAGTGATTAAGAAAGATACATCACCAATTGCCCTCATACTTTACCATCACCCAGACCCGTGCATCAGCTGGGGAGCCCCGTCACAGCGAAGGGTCGCAGAGCCTTTCCCAGCAATTGGGAAGTCCTACGCAGGGCGTCTGCTCGTAGGTGAGGTCTCCATCTTCGCTGTGAGAGGGTCCAGCTTTTATACAGTTTAACAAACAAGTCTAAACAAAACGCACAGGAGATATCTGGTAGATTGATATGTCTCACTCAGGCATGTCCGGATCTGGCCAGGATCCGGGCATGTCTGCGGAGTTTCTGTTTTTCTTTACATTTGGGATTTATAGTTACTTCCTATTGTTTACTTATAGTTCCCAAGGATTGTTCCCAGGGTTACATTTTCATGCTGATAAGATACTGGTTGCTTCAGTCTGGTTTGAGGCCTATGTTTCAGTCACACATCATAATTTTGTGTGAACTGAAATGTATGTTTTTAAGCAATAATGGTTGCTAAAAGATCCAGCTAACTGAATGATCCATCTAGCCTTAATTTCCATGGTGATTATAAACCTCTATGAAAAAGAAATATATGGTCCAGTTATATTGCTGTAAAATGATTACAAAGGATTACAAAATTTTTGCACTTGTAAAGCAGTTATGAATACAAAGTAGCATAAGTATTGTATTCTACATTTTATAATGTTGCATTAGCATTTTTCCTTAACAGCTGTTTTTGATTGAAACTGTGCACTATAAGCAGATTTGTAGCATGACATGCTTTCTTTAATTTAGTACAGAAAGTGTAAGTGCATTCACAAAGAAATGCAGTGAACATTTTGTTTGTTTTTTTTTCATCAGTTGATCATTCTGTCACTTAATTAGCATTAACTGTATATTTGTGCTACAGGAAATATTGACAGAATTCTCTTTCTTCTTTCTTGTCATGCTTATTTAGGAAAAGAAGCCCATCAATATCAAGAGAACAGAACAGAAGATACGACCAAAGGGACGAGAGAGACGAATATTCACAGTATGCTACATCAGACAGTGCGATGCCCAGGTCACCATCAGATTATTCAGATAGGCGGTCGCAGCGTGGGCCTCAGTTATATGAAGAACCCGAGCTGGGTGATTATAGAGATTCCAACAGAAGGAGTCGCAGGTGTTCCAAGGAGTATCCGGTAGAAGAGGAAGATGCACAAAACAGAGAAGAATATGAAAGACAGCGGAGGGAAGAGGAATACCAGGCACGATACCGAAGTGATCCTAATTTGGCTCGTTATCCAGTCAAGCCACAACCATATGAAGAACAAATGCGTATCCATGCTGAAGTGTCCCGAGCACGTCATGAACGGAGACATAGTGATGTCTCATTGGCAAACACTGAGTTGGAAGATTCTCGGATGTCTATGCTGAGGATGGAACGACCGTCAAGACAAAGATCAGTGTCTGAGCGCAGGGCTGCCATGGAAAATCAACGTTCATACTCTATGGAAAGAACTCGAGAGGCTCAGGGACCAAGTCCCAATCGTCAGAGGACCACAAATCATAGCCCTCCTACACCTAGGAGGAGTCCGATTCCTCTGGAAAGACCAGACTTGAGGCGCTCTGATTCATTAAGGAAACAACACCATTTGGATCCCAATTCTGCTGTACGGAAAACAAAACGTGAAAAGATGGAGACCATGTTACGGAATGATTCACTCAGCTCAGACCAGTCTGAATCTGTAAGACCTCCACCACCAAAGCCCCATAAAACGAAAAAGGGAGGTAAAATGCGCCAGGTTTCATTAAGTAGCTCAGAAGAAGAATTAGCATCCACTCCAGAATATACGAGTTGTGATGATGTAGAGATTGAAAGTGAAAGTGTTAGTGAGAAAGGTAAGTTTTCTAATTTTCTGACTGCTTCAATATACAGAAGTGGTTTAGTTTCCATTCCATTTTACGCTTATTTTACCTATTAGAATTGATTGCAAATACATACCTACAGCCCTTCACAGGTGACTCAAGTTTGTTGTGATATGAGTTGTTTTTTTCTGATTTTGTTGTTTCATTTACTTAAATCTAAATTTAATGATTTACATGGAAAAGAACATCATAGCTACTAGAAGTATTTTGATATGCTAAAGGAAAAAACATGCCTATTGAAAAACCTGTTAATTAAATCTGAAAACTATCTAAAGCTGGGCTGTCATATATGGTCATGATTTCACGTCCATTAATACCAGATTTACGTACTCCTGGATCACACTGATCTGGATATTTGATCTGGATCAAGTGTGGGTGCATGACCACGTTTCTGTTGAATTAACTAGAGCACAGGATACAGAGCTCATGCCAGTTTCATGCTGGTTGCTGCAGGTTAAAGAGCATCTGATCTGCAAAAAAACCTGTGTGTATAAAGTTAACCCATTCAAGATTCTAAACAAATTTAAAATGACTGATGCAGTTTATACCAGTGGAGGTTTTTTTTGCTGTGGGGCTATGGTGCTTTCTGGTTTTAGTGATTTTTAGGACTCATGATGTTGGATTTACTCCATTGCCAGAAAGAAAAGCTAAGATTAATTGAAATGATGTCCAACCTATCAAAAGGCAATGTATGACTTAATTACGAAAGCATTGGGGATGGTCAGTTTAAACTGAAATAAATTAATAATATTTGTTTGCTTCCATTCAAATAGGTTGTTGGTCTAAAGTACAATAGTTATAAACTTCTTTCAGTTATTATTCTTATGCTAGTGCACCTTTACTAATTCTCATGGTCATCTGCTTTTGTGGACTGGGATTAGAAAATTTGATACTTTTTGCTATTAATATTGCTATCAGTGTTTTTCTGAAGCAAATATTTAATTAGAGGTAGTGAAATAACTCTTAATTTTCATATTTCAATAGCTATAACCATGGTCTGATAACTAAGGAGCAAGATAGTTTAGAATGGAAGGAAATTTCACCTGGGACAAAGTAGCCAGTTATATACACTTACATAAAACTGTGACCTTGACCCCCTTAGTCTTCCTGATGAATAGAAGAACTTCAATCAACTTCAGGGTGTTCACGATTGTGTTCTTAGTAGCAACCTTGAGGAAAATAGAACCAATCGATATGTGGGAAGTAGTAACAAAGTGTTTATTTAATGAAGTTCAGCATAGGAAACATAGCATACAGAATAATACAGAAAAAATATATTTTTTGTACAGAAAACATATACATTTACAATATACTATACCAACAATGTTAGATTATCTGTCATCATAATAATCTGACATAAATTATAGCTTTTACTTAAATAATTTTGTACTTTATCTGTCAAAGAAAACATTATTGATAACAATAGTTAGTAATAATGATAATGTCATGTCTGTGCTGATTTCTGAAGTAGTGAATGAAGCTAAATAGAGCATATGTTTTATAAATGAATAAGAAAAGCTTGCAAAATTTTAGGGGGAAAAAATGCTCTGTTTTATGTTTTGTCAGTCTTGACTGAATTATTGTAAGCAGTTTTCATGACATCTAGAGTGTAGCTGTGTCAGCATGGCCCAGTGGTGGCCTGTGGCCGGAATCGGTGTGGAGAACAGCTTTGGTTTTTCACAGAGGAAGAGGGCAATTGCTTGAACTGGGGGAGAGGTCTGACTGCTGCTGACTGCGCCTGCTTCCAGCCTCAGCGTGGGGGTCCGGTGCCTGCCCTTGCCGGTGGGCTGGGAGGCACTGGCCGTGCATGGAAGAGGCAGCCATCCCAGCAGTAACGCCTGCACCCAGAGCCAGAGCCAGCTGGTGCCAGCCTCAGCAGCCCTGGCCACGTTACCAGACAATACCCTCAGCCCCATTCATACCTCCCCCCCACTCCTTAACCCCTGGAGCCGAAGTTCCAGGAAAGTATTTTTTTTGAGTGGATTTGGGAAGATCTGGATTCTGCTAGGCATGCGGGAAGAGAGAAAAGATCTGCTTGGATGAAGAGGAAGAGGGAGGTCTCGCCACCTGGATCCAGCCTTCACAGCCGTAGACCCACAAAGTCCTATGTAATTCTTTCTATTTTCATCAATCTCTCTTATCATGTAAATCAGCCTGCACTCATAGTCCCTATAAGCAATTTCTTCATGAATACCACCAAAAGGAATCCAGCACATAAGCCCCCATCAGTTTTCCTTGTACTGCAATACATTATTTTCTTAATTGATAAAATACAATTAATTATTTTAAACACATCCTATAAAAATGGGCTTCTCCTCCCCCCAAATTACTTGCTTTCTGCCCTTCAAAAACTCCCTAGACCCGAGGATTTCTCAGCTGACCTTTTAAGCTGCATACAAAGTCTGTTTCGCCAAAGATATAATGCTAAATATAAAACATTTGGCCTTGGAGTGATGAAGGGTGGCAATGTTAGTGAGAATTTGGATGCAGTAATAATGGGTTCTCCAAAAGAGGAGAATAATTTGTTCTCAATCTCTTTCTCTATGGAGTACCCATATCTTTTCACAGATTCTGCAAATAAATATTAAGAACTGCTCAGCTGTGAGGAGCAGCCTGGGCCTGTGCTGCAGGAGAAGCTGTTTGCTGAATTATGTCTGAGATTTTAGAAGGCCCTGACACTGCTGTTAAGAAACTAGTCTGATAATTGTGAATTACGTGAAAATGTAGGAAAAATTGCAGCAACATGCTCTTAAAAGGGCTGAAAGTTTGCCTTTTTAAGCTTATATCCGAAATGAAAGGATTGATAAATATATATGGTTGGAACATATATATGCATACAAAATGAAGATAGCCATTTCATTTTACAAGTCCAACAGAGACACGGATGTGGATTAAGATCTCTGGGAAGAGCATCTGTTATTACTGAATGCCTGTGACTTTAAGTATTTGGGTCTGGTCTCATTTCAGTAGCTGTCTGCTTTAAGGTAACTCTTTCTTTGATTTTTAAAAATAGAACATAATTGTTTTCAGGGAGGGGACAAGGCAAAATTATTTTTCTTCATGTTTCTGGTAATGGCTAGAGTAATCATTGCCTTGTGTTGTGGTTTGAGCCTAGTTGGCAGCCAACCACCACGCAGCCACTCTTTCTCCCTTCTCTTTGGGCAATAAGAAGGGACAGAGAGCCAGGCTTGGGGTTCGAGACAGGACTGGGATGGGGAAAAAATCACCCTTTATGGGCACAAGCAAAAGGCACGCTCGTTAGGGGAAGAAAAAAAGAACATACATCTATTACAGACACTAACAACACGTAACAGAGTAGGACAGTGAGAAGCATTGCCACATCTTGAGAACACCTTCCCCTCACCCCTCCCTTCTTCCCAGGCTCAGCTCTGCTCCCGATATCTCTACCTCCTCCCCACAGCGGTGCAGGGGCAGGGAATGGGGGGTGCAGTCAGTGCTGCCACTTCTTCTATCTTTGGTGGGGGCAGCTTCTGGAACTTCTTCCCCCTGCTCCAGCATGGTCACCCTCTCACAGGAGACAGTCCTCCACAAACTTTCTCTGATGTGAGTTCCTCCCACGGGCCGCAGAGTTCCCCACACTGCTCCATCGTGGGTCACTAACTTTCTCCGACTGGATTCTCTCCCATGGCTGCAGCCCTTCCTGAGCTGCTCTGGCATGGGACTCCCCCGCATGCTGCAATCCTTCCAGCACTGAATTACAGCAGCGGGGCTACCTTTTCCCATGAGACCCTGGCCTTCTTCGGGCACAGCACCTTGATTATATCAGGCAGAAGCCACAGGCCATAAATCAGTGTCTGCTCCACCGTAGACCTCCATGGGTGGCAGGGGGGGGCCGCCCTGCCGTCTCACCACAGGATACAGGGGGGGTCTCTGCTCCGGCACACCTCCCCCCTCCTTTCTTCCTCCGTTCCTCCACTGACCTTGGTGTTCACGCAGCTGCAGCAGCTCCTCCTCACAAGTCCCACTGCCCGTCACCACGTCCCTTCTTAAATACATTATCGCAGAGGCACAGCCGATTGTCTCAATTTCCCAAACAGAAGTGGAGCTGACTTGGAGCTGGGGGAGCTTCGAGAAGCTTCTCACAGGGGGCCGCCCTTATATCCCCCTCCCCTGCCACCAAAAACTCCACCACTCACTCAACCCAGGACACCTTGGAACGCTCCTGCCTCTTCTCTATGGGGGACAAGGGAAACTGTGAGCAGAGAAACCTGGTGAACACCCAGACAACTCTCAGGCTCCCAGCAGGCATCCATGTGAAACACAGGCATGGTGAAGAAGCATTGTAGATCGAGATTTGACTGCATAAGAGAATAGCTGGATTCTTAAGATACTGCATGGTTTTTGTAATGCAACTACATTTGGACCAGGAAATTTGGGTCATACACTAAGCAGAGGACTGGCATATTGGAATGGGAATCAGGAAGCTTCAGGAAGATGAGCAGACAGGAGGAGGAAGTTTAGGAACTGTGAAACAAAATCTCACTGGGTGGCTGGAAACCAGTGGATTGAGGTGGAAACTGAGGCTGAAGACGAAGAGGGGAGAGCAAATCTGGTAGCAAGTAAGCTAAACCTGTGACCTGTAGTTTGGAAAGAACAGATAAAATGAAGGAAACCGATCTGATAAAGGTAACTGGGAATGTGAGATCTGGAGTATAGGCTAGAGGATTCTGAGATTGGCTGAGAAGCAGTTTGGGGGAGATGGTGAGCAGTTGAGAAAAGAGCATTCCAAGAGGACAGGAGGGCTGAGATGGGCTTGGAAGCTTTGGCAAAGAGGGGACTGGGAGACTCCCTGAGCAAGGAGTGTGGGGCTGGCACATTGATGTGGAGTGCTGAGAGAGGGTTTGGCAAGGTGAGAAACACAGGACTATGGTGAGGAGCCAATGGTGTGACAGACCAGTTTATTCTTTAAAAGTTCAGGAAGCAATGCATGATGACAGTGTAAAATGGACATA